ACATCCTTGGTCACGACTTTCTCGGTCTACACGAAAAGGTGGAAATACCATGGTACTTTTATGTTGTGCGGACTCGCCGCTGCTAAAATTCAGTCACCATTGTTGTTTGCGCACCTCACTGCAAATTGTGAACCCATCGCTACCAAGTCTCAAAGACATTCTACAGAGCACGAGCGTTTTATCCAAGCAGAAATACAGCGCCTCATGGTGCACGGTATCATTGAGCCATCTAATTCCCTCTGGAGAGCTCAAGTCCTTGTGACCAGAAATTCTAATCATAAGAAGAGGATGATCGTGGATTACAGTCAGACGATCAACCGCTTCACCCAGCTAGGTGCCTATCCGCTACCCAGAATTGATAAAATTGTTGAACGAATTTCCCGCTACGCTGTATACAGTACGCCGGATGTAAAAAGTGCATATCATCAGATTCCAATCGCACACCACGGAGACCATATACCGCCTTTGAAGCAGGCGACCAGCTATACCAGTTTTGCCGAATACCCTTCGGCGTTACCAATGGCGTTGCGTGTTCCCAACCCACCATTGATGAAATTCTAGCAACCGAAGGTCTAAAAGATAATTCTGCCTACGTCGACAACGTCACCGTGCGGTATAACTATCGAAGACCACGACCGGAATCTCGATTTCTGAAGACTAACGCTAAGTACGGCATAACACTGAACCCTAATAAAACGGTCACGTCCGCTAAAGAAATCGATCTTCTTGGCTACCGCATATCCCGGAGTGTAATCACACCGGACCCCGACCAAATGAAAGCGTTACGCGATATGCTCCGACGGTTGCAAAACCCCTTCGACGAGTCATCAGTATGTTTGCGTACTATTTGCAGTGGATATCCCACTTTTCAGACAAAATTTATCCTCTAATTAAGAATAAAGCATTCCCATTACCGACTACTGTTAAACACATTCGAAANGAAAACCTAAAGTCCGATTTGGAAAACGCTATGATTGTCGCCGTAGACTACAATCTTCCCCTGGTTGTATAGACGGACGCATCGGATGTCGCAATAGCCGCCTCACTTAGAATAACCGACCGGTAGCCTTTTTCTCACGCTCTCTAACTCCTAGCGAAAACCATCAATCTGCAGTAGAGAAGGAAGCGTGCGCGATCGTGGAAGCCCCACGCAAGTGGCGGCACCATCTTCTTGGCACCGACTTCAAACCCATCGCCGATCAACGTTCCGTAGCCTTTATGTGTGACCGACGACATACAACTAAAATTAAAAACGATAAAATCCAGAGGTGGCGACTCGAATCATCTACCTTTCACTACGATATAATCTACAAACCCGGAAAAGATAACCGAGTTGCTGATACGCTGTCCCGCAGTACTTGTGCTTCCAATTTTAACAACACAGAACTGCTAGACCTGCGCGATTCATTATGTCACCTCGGAATAACGTGAATGGTGCATTTCGTGCGCACACGAAATTTACCGGATTCAGTCGAAGCAATCTAGAGCATGATCGCAAAGTGCACTATCTGCGCGGAGGTAAAACCCCGCTTTTTCAAGCCATTTCCCTGCAATCTAATCAAAGCTACACAGCCATTTGAGAGACTAAGCATCGATTTTCAAAGATCCTTCGACCTCTCGGAACCGGTATATCTGTGTATCATTGATGAATATTCTCGATTCCCGTTTGCTTTTGCATGTCCGGACATGCTTTTATCTACTGTCATCAACTGTCTTTGTCAATTATTTGCTGTTTTTGGCATGCCTGCTTATGTGCACTCGGATCGCGGTCCATCTTTTATGTCCACAGAGCTCGTTCGGTTTTTGCGTAATAAAGGTGTAGCAACTAGTCGCACAACTGCTTACAACCCGCAAGCTAACGGCCAAGTGGAGTGCTTGAACGGTACGCTATGGAAAGCTATATCTCTATCACTGAGGACTAGAGGTCTGCCGACCTCTCAATGAGAAACAGTCCTCTCAGATGCGTTACACTCTTCGCTCCCTGCTTTGCGTCGCCACCAACAATACACCTCATGAACGATTGTGTTCTTTTCCTCGGCGTTCGACCAACGGCTGCTCCATACAGACGGGGTTGAC